CCCCCCCCCCAAAAATCTTTGTGGGTAAAGATTGGCAGAGGCTTGCTGAAAGGTGCTGTTATGAAAGGTGAGGGGATCACTTCTATTTTACGTGTTTTATAATATTTTTCAGTACCTCACTGTAACCTTGATTATCCTTGGTGACTCCCCTCCCTGGCAGAGAATTTCTTCACTAGACTGGAGGTTTTTAGCCTTTTATGCTTTTTGGACCCCCTCTGTGTCAAATGTAAATGCACTGGCACTGTCAAACTCTTATTTTTTGTGGTTATTTTGGTTGTAAGCCACAGACCCACAGTTGTTCAGAGATCACAGACTCAACATCACCACATTGCTGTCCATGGAAAATATTTTTAATTACTTGAATTGCCCAGTGTAGGATTTGAGGAATATGCAGCATTTCTCAAATGATCCTTCATCTCTCCTCTGAAATGGGGGCGTCATGTCTTTCTTAGGAAATCTCTGTGACCCTCCCAGAAGCAGCTAGAACTGCATGCTTTACCCTGTTCTCCCTCCAGGTATTCCCCATCAATGCTGGGCATATAAGAAAATGTGGATAGGTCTGTAATAAGGGAAGGAGGACAGGATTCAAGCTTTGTACTGATGGGTTCTGGTGCTCCTGTTAGTGCATGTTCTGTGTGTTAGGGTGTCTCCTCCTGGGCATTTTAGACTGCCTCAGTCTTAGCAGCTAATTGTTATTCAGTCTGCAGGCTCGGCTGAACAAATTCTGGCAAATCCTGCTGTGCCAGCTGAAGAGGGGACTGTCCCCATTTGCTGCTCTGTTTCTTTGCCATCCCTTGGCTGTGTGTACTGAAGGGAACTGTGCCTGTGCCTCCGTTACTCTACCCTGTGCCCAGTGCCCAGCTCCATCTTCAAGGGTGGTTTGAAGTGATCTGGGGGTCGTACCAATTAGCTCAGGAATGGCTGGAGTCCAGCTCAGCTGCTTCAGCCACAGCTCAGCTAAGCAAATCTGTGCAGACTGGGAGTTAGTTAAACCTGAGAAACTGGGTGACATCAGTATTACTTTACTAGCAGCTGTAGACAGGGAACACTGCTTTCTGATTGTGTAGAAGGTAGGCATTATCATTACTAATTTTTTTTCTGTTGTTCAGCTTTATACAAGATACAGGCCCACTGCTTAGACCTCGTGTGTGCCTCCACAGTGGTGAAAATACAGTGAATGATTTTTAATTTGATGTTGCCAAGACATTCTTCAAATGTAAAGAATTCTGACACAGGCTGCTGGACAAGGGATAATGGTACAGGAGAGGCAGCGGCCCAGATTTTATCTCTTCTCATTTTCTTAACTGCAGACTGTGATACAGGCTTTTCTACACTACAGGGTAAAGAATGAGTTTATAGGAACTGATGCCCATGACCCATTTCACTGATAAGTAGCAGACATGGCCCTTTTTGCAGGTAGTTGTGCAAACCTCACGGAGAAGAGCTCGAGCCTGTGCTGAGTGTACTCAGGTCTCTGCTGTGGATTCAGGCTGAGACAATGCTGCAGGGTGGCCTTGAGAGCTATCCTGGACCCTGCCTTAGTATGACATACAGAGTATTTCCTTCTCCTGCCATGTCTTTTTGATGTGTTCAGCTCCTAAACTAGCTGGAATGCTTCTCTGGGTATTGAGGCTCTTTCCTTCCAACAGTTAAATGTGAGGTTCATAGTGAGAGCCCTGGAAATCTCAGTGAGTTTCCAAAGCAATCTGCAGGAGTTACAGATTAAAAAACTGTTTATTGTTCTGTCTGCTGACTATATGAATACAGCCTGGGTGAGTTAGTTGGACTCTTACAGATCTTGTTTGAATAATATCAGCCAGTGTTACAATTCTGTGATCAAATCCCCTCCCAATTCTATCAGTCCCTTCCCTGTCAGTGGTTTGTTAGCTTGATTCGTTAGGTCTGGAGTAAAGAGCCTGGTTCCCAGTATACAGAGAGCAGAGATCAGATGGTAAAATTGGGTGTGAATTCTAAATAAAAGGGAAATTCCATCTTTCTACCACCATTTTTCATCAGCGGATAACTAATAAGGAATAATTTTTCACATAGTAACACTTCACAGTAGAGCTGGACTTTGAAGAATAGCTATAATTGCTTCTCTGCACTCAAATAATTGGATATAAATCAATTACCACCATTTTAGGTATTTGAACAGCGAACCTCACTCTATGAAGAAAAACCTTTCTTTCCTGTTTAATAGCCAGACCTTTAGCTTCTTTGTTTATCCACATTGTCTGGGACAAATGAGTCAAACTCAGTCATTAATTAGAGATTTTATCAAGATTCTCCTGTCAGGACCAAAATGTCAGCACACCCTTGCAGTGCGGGCAAGACAAGTACCTCCAATTTGCACACAAAGTCAAGCCTTGTGAGTAAGAAGCCTCAGAAAAGGACTTGAAGAGTAGAGCTTTAATTTGGGGTGGCTGCTTGTAAGAATATGCCTGGTGTGCTAAGCATGAATGGGATGATCAGATAACCTGAATTGTATCCCAGAATCGGTGACTGATATTTTTTCTGGATTAGTTGGCCCTTCAGGCCTAGAGCCAGCTGACAGAAACATCAGGCACAAAGGCTGAAGTAAAAGTCGGGCCAGAGGAGCATGGCCCTGACTTCAATCTAAATTATTTTTATTGTATTGCTCAGAGACCTTTTGGCCGTCTGAGCTACACGCTGGCTTCTGGATGCCGGGGATGAGCCGGTGCTGCGGCCTGCCACAGATGCTCCCATCGATGTCCTGGCTTGGCTGAGAGAAGGGCCCTGCCAGGGAAGGAAGAATATCTTTTAGTATGGGATAAATGCTACTTGACTGATGCAGACCAGTTAGGATTATAAAAAATTTTTGTTAAATAAGAGGACAGATATGAATGATGAGGCAAAGAGGAGTGAAAGTTTTTCCTGGCAGATGTAATTCAGATATCAGTCAACTGCTAGGCTTAGCACCATGTTAGGATGCCACAGTGATCCCTTCTGGGCTTGAAATAGGTATTAATATTGCCACATTATTACCTGTACTGATATATTTTTCTTGTATTTATGCTATTTTTGTCACTGCTTTCAAATCACCTCATTTTTCAAAGGAAGAGAAAACGAACACTTTAGGAATAGAGGACTTGTTCTGCTGCTGCTGAGAGTAAAAGTGGGAGAAAATGGAAAAATCCATAATTATGTGCTGTAAATTAGAAAGCAAAACACAAGCAGACAGCAGCTAAAAGTACCCCAATATTCAGCTTGTGTTTTTCCTTCGCTGATTTAATCTTTTACTGGTTAATGTGTCCTTGTAGGGCAGCGACACAGCAATTTCTGATTTCAGTAAGGAGTGCCTCTACAGGAAGTTTTACTTGTACAAGATTGGACAAGAAAAAAATATTCATTGCCCCTGCTTCAGTCCCTGGTAAAATGTGATGTACCACTGAAAGGACCTTCTCGGCTAGGCAAAAGCTACGGTTAGAAGTCCTCTACAGCCCTCAAGTGGTTCGCTTTGAATCCTGCACGTTGGGAAGACAATGCCGCAGCCTTGGCAAGGAAGCTCCTAGGGCAGGCATAGCCTTCCCTCCCAGAAAAGGAACCTACAGAACTTGGTGTGCTCTGGCCAGCCTTCCCCTTCCTTTCCAGCTCTACGAGCCGCGGGGAGGATGCGGCTTCAGCTTGCCAGCCTACGTTTTCGGCTACGGGGCAAGCAAAAGCACAGAACTCACTGGTGGCACAAAGCCGGGAGCTGTCACTCGACAGCGTGGCAGGGGTTTGCCCACGCTCAGGACGGTTTCTCCTGCTACTTTTTGTCTCCAAGAAAGTTAGAAGGAAAGGCTTCAGCCCACAGCCTCTGGAGCCAAGGGGAAGAAGGCTTTCCCTGAATGGGCTTGGAAGGAGACCTTGTCCTCAAGGGAGGAGGAGGAAGAGGCTGGTCTTTCTCCTGGAGGGAAGCTTACAGATCAGAATCAGAGAGGGTAAAGGTCTCTGCACAGGCAGCCCCTGGGCAGAGAAAAGTTAGGTTTTGGAGTGCTTTAAAAGGCCTGACATACCCAGACACTCCCTGCCTCGTTCCTCTCCCTGTGAGCCTGGTACTCTGCCCGAATGTGCTCTTCCTTTCATTTTTCTGGAGCCGCTCCTCAGCCAGTAACGCCTGGAGCTTTCTTTCATCCCGCTGCATGCACAGGGAGTGTACTGCCTGCCGGGAGGAAATGCAGGAAACGGTGAGAGAGATGTTAAAGAAGGAAATACCCGGGATCAGTATCCATCTGACACGGCAGGCATGCCGCCCACGGGGGTTACCTGTCCTGCTCTGTGGTGGCCCTCGTACAATGGGGGTAAAGTTTGGGGCCAGGCCGTAGCAGAGGGCTTGCACTTCCCCTCTTCTCCTTTCCTTGAAGAGCTCTCCTCGAGCACTGGCAGCAGTCTGCAAGCACACAAGAGGGGAGTTTCTGCTATGGCTTGTGCTCACCAGCTGGGTGCTGCTTTGGCAGCTCTCTGTGTGGATCAGCCCTCCTCTCTTCTCTGTGCTCTATGCCAAGGAGCAGCTGTAACCCAAGCTGTGGCACCAGGTCCCCTGTGAAGCTGAGTCCAGGTGCCCAGATCCAGACCCCCTCCAGAGGAACCTTTTCCATTGCCAGTCCCTGAGCCCTGCTCTCCTCTGATCAAAAGAGGAGGCTCCCTTGCAGCTCTGGAGAATGTGAAGTCAGCTGCAGCCTTCTGCTGAGAGCTTCTGCAGACACTTTCCAACAGGGCTTCATGCTGGCAGCAGGGGCAGGAGAGCAACCCTGGCAAAAACCTGCTTTCTGCTCGCTGCCCATCAAGGAAAGGGGGTTTGCCAGGACACATGACAGTGGTTTTGGAGTTCACCAAGACCCTCTGTCCAAAGACAGGCTGTCGCTGCCTCAAGGACCAGAGCCCTGGGGTTGCCTCCTCCAGCTCCCCACCAGTCTCACCTGAGAGGCTCTCTTGCCCTGGCAGCCTTGCCCAGCTCTCCTTCCACTGTCAGCGGCGGCAGTCTGGCCGGAGAGAGAGAGCAGCTGGAGCTTGTCAGTGAGAGACCCTGTAAGAAGGCGACAAAAAGGCTCGTCAGAGCAGCCCCTTGGTGACCACGCGGCCAGGAAGGGACCGAGCCTCCCTGCATGCCAGCGGGGAAGGGGGCTAGCAGAGGGGCACAGGGACACTCTTGCACGCCAATGTGTGCCTGGAGATTTCTCCCTCTGAACCTTGCCCAGCTTTTCCTTTCTGTGGCCCGACAGTGCTCCCACTGCTCTTTCTTTCTTCCTTGCATTTCACAGGAAGGGAGCCTTGGGTCTCTGCTGCTGCCATGGCCCCAGAGTGTCCCAGTGGGCACATCAAGCCCACGCAGGAGTTGTCAGGAGACAGGAGATACAGGAGCCCGTTGCAGAAGGAACCTGAGCGTTATTGAATGCAACTGGAAGCGCTGGGCTGCCCCGCCATCTTGGTCCCTACCAAGGCCCTGCACAGCGACTGTCACAGGGAATCAGTCGCAGGAGGACCTCATCCTGTACAACGCACAGCCTTCCAGCCATGGCTCTGACCCCTTGCCCTTAGGAGAAGGTGCAAAAGGCAAGAAGGATAGAGATGTCTTGCAGGAGCCATTGCTGCCAGGAGCCAGCTCTCACAGTACCTGATCTCTTAGCCTCTTCTTCCTGCTTGCTTCTCCCTTCTTCTCCAGCTGCCCCTTGTGTGTCTGGAGAGGCCCTTCCCTGGCAGCCCTTCCAGGTGATATGTAGAGCCCGACCCTGGAAGCAAGTAAACAAAACCAGTTTGATTCCAGGGTGCTCCCTCCCAGGCTTGCAGGGCTTTGGCCTCGGTGCCACCTTCTGAGAGATGCTTGCTGTGGGTTAGGAAAGGAAGGGGCAATCACTAGCCCGTGGGCTGTGCTGTGAATACAGCCCTGTTCCGAAACAAATAGGAGCAAGTGTGAAGTAATGGGGGATCCAGGCCTTGGAAAAAATAAAAATCTCCCTTCGACTCCTTTCCAAGCTGTGGGCAAGTCCTGGCACTACCAGATGGCACAAGAGAAGCTGCTGACGCGCTCAGCGGCCAAGGGCTGCGGGCAAACGGACTCACCTGGGAAACACGAGGTCACTGCCAGAAGCCGTCTGGGAAGGGGTGTTCTTTCTGCCTGATGCTGCTGAATCTCTCGTCCCTGGCCTCTGCAGGAGAGAGACACCCAGGTGAGACCATTGCCAGGAAGGGATCCTGTTGTTAACCAAGGCAGCTGGCCTGTGGGCTGCTAAGGCAGCAAGCTGCCTTCTGGCAGAGCCCCCTGTCCTCAGCGTTAACCCTCTTTCTTAGGAGCAGGAGCTGCACAGTGAGCTCCTGCACCTGGGTGATAACACTGCCTGGCTTTGTGAAAGGGCAAGAGGCAGCTGTCTCAAGCAGGAGGCGAGTCAGACGCACGGGGAGACATCACTGCCAGTGGCCTCTCGGGACATTTCCCAAGAACCCACGGCAGTGCTGGCGGAGAGACACTCACGCTGAGGAGAGATTTCAGCAGGTGGCCGGTGCTATCCAGAGTGCGAAGAAACTCTGCAGAAAACTGCATTTTGACTTTTTTGTTCTGGAAGCGCAGGCAGCCAATGTCCTTGAAGATGAAGTCCACGTTCTGCTTGTTTGCCAGGGTGTAGGACAGAAAAAGCAGGGTCTCTTGAATGCAGCGCTGCACCGTGTCCGGAGGAATGCGGGTGTCCAAGGACACTGAGGTGTAATTCAGCAATACTCTGGGGGAAGAACCTAGGAAGAAAGAAGCAAGGAGTGAAGTAGCTTTGCTCAGGTGGACAACGGGCAAATATCGGCAGCTGCTGAGCCCACGGGCAAAGCTCTGCTGCAGAGTTTCTCTAGCATACTGCTGTGGTGCAGCCCCAAAATGCAATGTTCACAGCCTCATGCTGTGCCCAGCTCAGAGCACTCTCCAGGCTGGGAGGCAACACTGGAGAGAAGAGAATCCCTGAAAACACAGTGTTCCGAGGGCCTGGTGCCCCACACTGGTGGTGCATCACTCGTGCCACAGCACATCCTCCCTCTCGCCAGCCTGCACCTGCAGCTGTGCTGGCTGCCATGAGCAGAATCAACAGCCAGTGCGGCCATCAGGGGCCAAACAGTGCCGAGAGGGACCTTTTCAGGAGCTGCTTCTTGGCAGACAGTGGAAGGTGGGGGCCTGTCTTTGCCTGTGACGAGCTCAGGCTGCTGTAAGGACCTTCTGACGGAGCTCTAGGCTCCTCTCAGTCCCCTGGCAGCAGCAGTTCAGCATGTGCTCCAAATGCCCTGTAAGAGAAATCCATCGTATTCATCTGCCTTCTTACCTGGAAAAATTTCTCCCTCATACTGGAGCCCGTGAACCCATGCAAAGTTCTCCGACAGCTGGAAGATGGGCCTCTGCAAGTTCAGGAGCTGAGAGCTCCTCATGGGCAAAGTGTATGGAATAAGGCAGAAGGTGCCCAGCCCAGGTATTGTGACACCCTGAAAAGAGACCAAAGGCAGAACGGGGTTCAATCTTTCTGAGATGTCACATAGCTTCTGCAAGCAAGTGATGGGCTGTTGCAGCCCAGCTTATAGGGAAGGGGTTGGATGGTAGCAGTGTGGAGAGCTTTGGAGATGGCCTCATCCTCTGGGCCTTTTTCACCTCCCTCCAGTTTTCTCTCTCAAGAAGAGATGCCATAATAAGAGCAGAGCAACACCCTCAGCTGGGGAGGACCCCTCAAGGGCTTTCCAGCAAGTAGGGGAAGCCTGGAGAAATGGCTCAGGCTGGATGCTGGGCTGCCCACACTGGTCGTGGGCAATGAGCAAGCTGCCGGCAGCATGGATAAGTTCCTTCTGCT